TTACCATAATCCACTGACTAAGATAAAATTTCTTCCTGTGAACAGACAAGCAGGGGAACGTCTGCTGTTTGTTGAATATGTGATAATAAATGGAGATTAACTGGATAATAAAAACATTGCCTATTTACAGCCACGCATCAGTTCCTTGCCAGAGGACACCTATTTGTTCAGGGAAAAGGGATTAAACTAAAGTCTAGGAGAGAAAGGATTACACATACCCACATTGAAATGTTTATCTGAAAACAGATTGGGCCTGAAAGGTATTTTCTTCCTCTTCATTCTCTCCAGTGCAGGACATACTATAGCAATGAATCTCAGGTCTCTTGAAATGAACTCATGTGTTTGGAAAAATAAAAAGAGTAATCGTTGATAGTGATTAAGGCTATCCTACACACATCACAGAGGGGTGTCCCAGCCACTCCAGCTCTGAACGCAGTAGGCAGTGAACAGCACTGGCAGGAGTTGACTGGACAGCAGGAACACTCTTCTGCTCATGGCAAATTCAGGCTCACCCTTGGAGGTCCCACTTTCTGCGTAGCAAGGACACAGTTTTAGTTTATCAGAAGCGGACAAGTGAGAAAACATGAAAGGAAGGGAGAGGCTTCGACCCTCACAGTAGCAACAAGTGACTCCAGTAAGTGTGGAGCTTTTTCCTGCCACTGGAGGGAGAGCAAGATCCTTGAACGTCTCAGGAGAGCGACGAACTGAGCCCAAGCCTAGTTCACAGCGCAGAAGGACAAAAGTGACATCTCTCAAAGGACAGTGACAGTGCACTGGCTCTCTTCCAGTCTGCAAAGGATAGCCGTGTCAGAGCTGCCGAGCAGCCTTGCTTAGGAGAGTGCCTCCCTCCCAGCTGCTGCCTCCCTCCTTCCCATGCCTTGGTGAGGCTGCTCAGGCTCCCAAACATCAACCCTCCAGGAAAGGAACATGCACAGGCACAGAACAAAAGCTGGGATGCGCTCCACCAGACATCAAAGTCCTCCCGAGGGCTTGCCGTAATGGAAAAGACCTGCTTGCTGATTTGACTAGCTGAGTTAAAAGGCAAAGGTCATCTTCCTCCAGAAATTACCACCAGTCTTAAATGTGGTCCATGAGCACAAATGCACAGCTTTACAGTCTCCTTTGGTCATTAGTGAGTCTCTCATCAATGTCAACAAGAATTGTGAAGAGAAATCATTAAAAAGAATGGTCCTTGTCCTGGAACTAAACAATTGGTTATCCATTTGTTAATTTATTATCATTCTATGGGGAAAAAGATGCTGTTTTGGGACACTCCTACTTTAGCTGATCATCTTCCCTGCTGTAGTCATGTTCCATTCTCCCTGGATCGTAATCTCACTTTTTTCTTCTTTCTTTCTTCCCTTAAAATGGCATGCAACAATGTGTGCCAAGCCTCATATTGATTGCCAACAGCAAGTTCTAGGGTCAGCCCTCACTGAAGACAAAGAATGAAGTTCTTACCTTCTGCAACAGCTGGCTCGGGTCACATCTTGAACAGATAGCTTTGCAACTGCACAGTATCAGCATAGAATCGTAGGATGGTTTGGGTTGGAAAGGACCTTTACAGGCCATTCAGTCCTAATCCCCTGGCCATAGGCAGGGACACCTTCCACCAGACTGCTCAGAGCCTCATCTTTGAATGTTTTGTAAAAAGCTTTCCTTGCTCTTTTTAATCAACTTGTATTTCAGAGAATATGCACTTTCATCCACAAGCACATTAAAGGACAGCACATACATGATATTTCTGTCCCAAATACCTACGAGAAGTAAAACTGATCCAACAATACACTCACAACAAAAATGGCACTGCAGTGGTTAAGATGTGGGAATGGAAGGCAAGTGTTCCAGGGTCTAATCCCACAGCCTCTTATCAACAACTGTATTATCAGGTCTTACATGTTTGATTAATAAGCCAAAGTACATTCTTTAATATCAAATCTCTAACAGCAGCCCACAGGAGCTCATATACATCATGTACAATTACTAAAATGCTAGCAGACAAATCCCAGTTAAGCAGGCTATCAGGGTACAGTTCAGAGTGTAAAAAAGGCTTCAAAATCTCTTGTTTGTTAATCAGCCCTGGCAGAACAGCTTCTACAGAACACAATGAAGAGGAGTAAGAAAGTGGGACAGGCCCAGAACTGCAATGTGTGCCAGCCTAGCCCAAGCTTAAATCAGTAGAAATAAGGAAGATCCTTGGTTTAGTTACGTACTGGACCATGCTAAAAAACTGTTAACTAAAGGAAAGTGCAATTAATCTCTTCTAGAAACCCTGGTAAGGCACATTCTTCGTAGTTGTACTGATATTTATGCTGGTAATTAAAGCAATCTAGATCAATGTTACCATGTACTTAAGACAGAACCAACTTTGGTACAGTTAAATATAAATACATATTTACATATGAAAGCATATGGTATGTAGAGATTAGAAGATTAGTCCTGCACAATCCACATTTTCCCACTCTCAGCAAACTAAGCTCACACCAGACAAGGGCTGCCTTGTCTGCACTTCACTGCTGCACTAGGCACAATTCCCTCCTACACCTGGAGCTCAGAACATCAGGACTGACTTACCACACAATTTACACTTACATCAGGTTAAGGGAACACATCTGATTAAATGCCTGGTAGATGATGAGGAATTTTTTCCAGACCTCACTGTGGTAAAAGTAAATTTGCATATTGAAACCCTATTTCCCCACAGTATACAAAATTTCCATTGGTGCCCTTCACAGATACTTTAAGATGTATCATGCACACAGCTCAGTGCACATGCAAGCTACCATGTTCTGGAGGAAAAGGAGCGGGTATGTTTTAATAAAAATCACAGTGGCTTTTTTTTTTTTTTTTGGTGGCCATGGCAAAAGGCAGATAGAGGTTCTTTTTGAAAGAGAAAGAGCAGAACAGAGCTTTTGGCAACCCCTCCTTTGTCAATATCTCTGTGTTCTAGCCAACCAATCTGGCAAACAAATGCACTGCAACAGGAAAACACAAAATTAAAAGCAAAAAAAAAAAAAAAAAAAAGCAAGCTTTGCAATTTAGCATGAAGAAAGATGGTCATCAGAACAAGCATGAGTGACAAAAGAGAGTGGGAAGAAGGACTGATCTCTAGTTAATTGAGACATTTAACTCTAGAAACCCCTACACTTAAGCACCCTAGTACAAGTTTTCAGAGAGACTAAAGCAGGTACCACACAAGGGCAAGTTCTCAGGTATCTTAGGATACCTGAGCATAGTCATAAAGTCTGGAATTACTGTAGAGAAGGCCACATCTATAGATGCCATGTTTGGAGAACATTCAAGGACTCAGTGTTGCATTCACTGTTTGATATTCATACAGCTGAAAAAAATGCAGCAATAGTGCAATAAGGGCCAGAGAAAAAGTTATTTGCAGAACTGTAACAAGATGAAGTGGAAACAAATCAACACACAGGTTAGGATACAGAGTCCAGAAGCTGTGATGACCTACATTAGCAGTAGGTGTAAGCCATCTTTAATCATGGTCATCCAAACAACTCTCAGAACCCATGGCATGTCAAAGTGGATGACCACATCCATCCATTTATCTTTTATTTACTTCCTGAATAGGAAAGACCATGAACAGAAGACAATTCAATTCTTCATTTTAACAAGGTATCTCAGAGCAAATCGCCAGAGGTGAATAAAGGGCATTAGCCCTCATTAGTAGATCAAAAAATTATGGTAGCAAAAGGTTATGTGATTTGTTTAGCATTGCACAAGAAGGCAGCAGCAGGGCCAAAGAACAGTCAGCATCCTGCCTTCTAAACCACAGCAGCAGGTGCTAAGTCCAAAGCATCTAGTGCCTTCAGCAAAATGTATAATCAACACTACTCACAAATTACATTCATATAGGCAGGCAGTTGTTCTTCCTATGCGTGCCTGTGTTGGAACACCTATCTAAAAAGCAAGTATCAAAGAGAATGATCTATTAATTTCATGATTGGAGACTCTGTTTGCCCTTTAGCCTTCCTTCTGCAAAAACAACTTTGACCCATCAGCCCATCTGATGCAACAATGCTCTGAAGGAAACCAGTCACCAGAAATACTGCACACACACTTGTACTGCATTTAAATAGCACTGAATTTAAATGAAAATGTCACATTTCTGTTGGGCTGGATGTTAACCCACATCCTATTATGGTACTGCAGGAACACACAACACACTCAGTGCTCCTGTTTGTGACACTAAGGAGTCTTCTGAGCCTGCTTTCCTCCACCATTCTTTAAAAAAGGCAAAGTAACGGCTCAGTTATGAGTTAGAGGCTTCTACCAACTTAAATACTTACATGAATTTGGCCTATTTTCAGCAAGGACTACATGACATGTCCTTAGGAAGAAAATGCTGGGCAAGCAGCAAAAACCAAAATTGTCAATGTTAAATCCACAACACTGACCACAAATATATCAAATTAATTCCTAACGAGCCTTTCAGCGATGATGCTTCACTGAACAGTGTGCCAGCAGATCTGTGTTCTGCATTAAAGGCTCTGGTGATTTCGGTTGTCTTAAGATGAGAATTGCAATTCACCAGGAACATTCTACCATGGAAAGAGATACAGAGCTTCTGACATGGGCTTCATCACCTCATTTGGTGGAGCCCACATTAAGCCAGTCCTTACTGGATCATAATTAACTGCTGCAATTCAAACCACAATGGGGATTCTCCAGTACTTTAGAAAATAGACAGTCTCTCTAAAATTTGTCAAGGAAATACTGGGTTTTCTCCATGCCCACAACTGTTGGAGCAGCCTCTCAACACCTCAGTCTTGCAATAGTCTCTTTGCAAGATGTCTATCTGCAAGGCAGAGAAAACACCTCGTAAACTGAAAACGGCTCTACAATTCCTAGAACTGACTGATGTGCAGGTAAATTACACAAGGAAAATTATTTTCTTTCCTTGTACTACCATCTCATCAAATCCTCTCCTTCGCTTCCCCAATAAAGAAGGCTGTTAAAAGAACTCCTCCTCAGAGCTGACATTTTGCAAATCTCTGTTCCTTGCTGCAAAGATTATCCAGGTGAAATCTGAACAAAATTGCTTATTCTTCATCCACTGAAGGACTGAGAATCCTTTTGCTTTGGCAAAGGAAGATGATGAACTTATCAAAACTAAAAATCTCTGTTGGTGCAGAAGGACTGTAAGGAGAAACATTGTTAAATCAAAATGATCTGTAAATGTTTCAGAGATATGCTCTTCAATGCTTCACTTACTGTAGCATATCTTTAAACCATCATTTCTTTAATTTCTTACATTTAATTCCCCCATGTAATTTATTCCTGAAAAAAAACCCTCTCATTTTCAGGAGCTCTCTAATTGCTCTCTTACTCACTTCATACAATCTCAAAATTAAGATGTCTTTAATACAAAATACTAAAATTTTTAAAAAGCCCTGCATTAGTCAAATATTCACTCAAAGGTAACAAGTTCAACTGCATGAGCTCAATTTGCTGGCTTCCCCAAGCTTCTTGATACATTTCCTTGCTTTCTGCTTTTTTTATTTCTCCTTTATTCTTTCCTATCCAAACACAAACATTTATTTTCACTTACTTATAGGAAATTTTGGTACAATTTCTCCAGTGATTCTCTCCTGCCTTTTTTCCCAAACACCTACTCTTCTGAACGGATAGTCTGTCCTCTTATGAGAACTCTTGTGTCTAAACAAGAAAGGTCATAGTCTTATTAATATCTGTCTAAATGGAACACAACTGGGTCTTATAAAATCCTGATGACAGCTCAGATGTTTACAACATTTCACAAAATAGAGTAAAATGCTGCTAGAATAATGACTCTGCGGACAGTCTGACATTAGGATGTGTTTTTGCACAGAGAACGAAAGACCAAGCAAACATCTTTGTCCTCATGATCATCTTACAACCAGAAGTACATCAGGACATTCATGTATGTATGACGTACATTTTAAGTGGCATTGCAGTTCACCTGTCCAGGTTATTAAGCAAAGAACACTGATTAAGCCCTATCTCTATTGCATAAACAGCTGTTTCCCAAGAGGCTTTCATGAGCATAGTCTGCATTTGTTTTGCATACAAGGTTGAAGCAGAACACAAAACAAATTGCAACTGGCTGACAACAGGACAAATGGTAGGAACAAAGACAAGGGCATTTCTTTTTCTTAGACACTAATAATTTAGCAGTGTGACTGAATGCAATCGTAGGATGAGGATTTTCTACAGCCTCTTTCTTGACCCCAGGATTATGCCTACAGCACTGGACATAATGCAAAGCAGAGAATTTTTTATTCTTAGCAGCATCACTGAGGTGGCAAAACAGAAGCAATCAGGTCTTCAGTACAACAGCAGTTTATTGACTCTTTTCCAAGCTCTGGAACATATTGCATACCAAAAAAGGGGGATCAACACTCAGACTTTGAGAGATCTAAATTTTACTAATATGCACAAATTTTGAGCAGAAGATGGCAGTTCACATACTGGAAATACCAGCAGTCATTACAGACTCCGCTTACTCTTCTGCTTATCTACCACAGAAAGATTAACAGCAGTTGTCCATATTCTCTACTCTTGGATAATTTCATGTTGCCAAAATTACCAAAGAGGACACTGATGGGGCCTATCTCACCACACAATCTAAAACATAGGAAATCAACTGTTCACTCCCACAATATATTTAGTAACAAGCTCATAAACCTGAAAAGATCACAAAAGCAGACATACTCTGTCTTGGCTTTTCCCCCCAAGTCCATCAATATTCCCCAGAAGCTTATGAATGCTCACAATAGTCCAAATCCCTATACTGAACTAGCACAAACATCAGAATCTGCAGCACTGAAATAATGAAGAACAAGATTCTTGTCACCACTCTGCCAATGGAGATCATCTATTACCTGCAATAACCAGAATATACTAGTTCTGTGCAAACTACGGGCAGGATGCCCAACCATCCAGGCTAAGCAATTTTGAGTATGTAGATACACAGCCATGTTTATTCTGCCCAAAAGAACCAAGTGAGACCTCTTAAAACACAATTTTCATATAGTGTTCATATTCAGTGAATCCCACTGGCAAAAATAAACAATCACTGGACATTACTCATTGTAATTTTGTAAGCTTTGTGTTTTTAAAAAGTGTGCTCAAGAAGGAGAGGGCAGAACAGTCTTAAACATTATGAACTCCTAAATTCCATGCAAAAGGCGGATGATAGAAACTGGAACAAGTTGATTTTTAACCAGTTTTCCTTACCATGACTCATAAAATTTTATTTCTCAACAGTGAACTACACCATTTTTGAGTCCAAGGAGCATCTTTTTCAGCACAAACACCCAAGTAACCATTACTGACATACCTTTCCAGAATCAACCAGTTCTGCTATTTCATCCAAACTTGGGCCACTTGGCATAAAAAATGCCCACCGATAATGGACTCCTTTAAGGAGATGCTGCAAGAAAGATCACAAATCTATTAAAATATCATGAGAGCAAACTGGAATGGGAACTAAAATTAATGACAGAATCTCTGAAGAAGTAACTGAAGGAAAAGACATGGAAATTATATGCTAGTGTCTAAAAAAATGGCACCTAAGCATGTGGATTAAATGTACAGATCAGGATGTTGTGTTACCACAATAGGATCAGGGTGAATTGTGCATCCAATTGCACAAGTCAGCGAGTAGAGAAAAACAATTACCTTGTCTCTGCAGCTAGAAACAGCACTATTTGTTACATAAGAGAGGAATGGTGTTATCTGTTCATGTACACTCAAAATAGGGGTGAAATAAACCCAGCAATGTTATACTTCCACTTCAGTATCAGTGACTTCATTTTCCACCATAATATCTGCCAAAGTCATCGTTGTCCAATGAAAGATGGCAGCTCACACGAAAAGCATTTCGGGAAGATCTCACACACATAAGTCAAGAGCATCTCCTCTGAGTAAGTCATTACAGAAAAAAAAGGCATCATCTGCCAAAGAGAGATGATCTTTATATATGGCATAGAATCCTCTTCATCATGGAAACACCCATACTGAGAAATAATATTACATTATTTCTTCCCCACCTTTTCATTTTGTCTTTGGGCTTTCTTGAGAAGGTACTGCTGCAGGACTTAAAATCCCTTTCAGCCAAGCCTTTGCAGGAATACCATAGCAACTGCTTAAAAAGCATTCATTTGGAGAGCAAGTACACAAGCATAGGGAAGAAAGAGAAAAGTTCTAAAAAGCCCCACTGATCTTGCCACTGGCAGAATGTTTTAAGATCCATTTATGAAAACTAGAAAAATCAGTATCACCATCTAGACACATGAACATGAAAGAGATTAAAGACTTCCCAGCCACCCCTGACCATGCTTATTACTCTCTGGTGCTGGAACAGGATGAAGAGAATCACTCATGGAACAATGTTCTGAGAGAAAGCCTGACCAGCCTAAAGCAAGTAACAAAACTGCCCTCACTTCAGTGAGGCAGAGATTTGCTGTGTTTACTATGAAACCCTGGCTGTCAGCAGGACTCACTAGGGAAGCCACATGGAAAAGGCCACAATGGAAAGCACAATAAGGAATCAAACTTCAAAGCTCCCCAAACTACTACATACACCCAGAAGCACCACCCCAACACATTTCAGTGCAAGAAAGAAAGAAAGAAAGAATAGTATACTTAATGACATATGAGGACAATGCAACAGCTGCCTTTCCATGAGCTCTGTGACTGACATCCAAGCCACAGAAGTAGTCACTAAAGTACTACAAAATATGAAAGTACATAAGATTTTGTCAAATACCTTTAGAGTTTTGGAACCAACAGTGACTCCTGTTTGCAACATGCCATCAGCCACTCCAAGTTTGTCCATATTGATCAGGAAAGGTGTCACTAAAGTAACATATGTTGCTCCTGACCATTTCTTCAAGAGATCTAGTGCCCACTTCTCTGTAGATCCACCAACATTATCTAGGATAAAATCAAACCTGCAGACATACAAAGAACAGGTTTAAAATCCTGAGATGGGAAAAATAACTTCATTGTAATTAAGCTAATGAATAGCAGAAATCAGCTATACTTCACATTTTTACATGTCACTGCAATGCAAAAAAGAAAATCAGCCTGCAAGGTAGCAGTAAGAAAGTCCCAAGACTTCAGAAAAGTCCCAGCTTAATGTACAATGGGATTTAAATTTACAGGTTATTGCCTATTCACTGTGCAGCAGACACAGGCTATTTATAAAGTGCAATTAAACTCCAAAAAGCAAACTTAGATGCACAACTACATTCTGTACTTTCTTAAAGCCTTGTACAGCTCTATCTCTTCAGCCCTCCCACAGAGACTACAGGAACAGTTATGAGCTCTAGCACTGAACAATATGGTATGTACATGTAAAAACTAGTCTGGACTCATGCCCTCAACTAGGAACAGCTCTTGTACATGCTGTACTCAATGAAAGTCAGTTTGAGTGGCTAAAATCATGTAAACAAATTATTATACTAACCCTTATTTCCTCACATCTTTTCTGTGACCCACTTCTCAGCTTCATTTCTCCAAGTTTGTTTTTTTTTGACCTCCTTATTTATTTAGGGGCCATTTTACCTCTCCTGACAGCCCTTTTCTTCACGTGTACATATTTAACATTGAACCTAACAATGCAAAGGATCTAAAACCTTCCCCCCATGGAATGGGTATATGCAGCCTCTGGCAAAAAGCCACAGTTTCAGTGTTCCTTCTCATTATAATACCAGCATGTGAGCCTGTAAAGGCTGAATAGGGCAATAGGGAGCTGTGCACCTGTTCTGTTAAATGCACAACTCATTCTCATTCTCATCTGTAAATTTCCAGCAATCTATAGATTGCAAGAGATAGGTATATACACATATCTCTAATCTAAATAATCTACAAATATGAGAGAAAATACTTTATGCATATTAAATAGAAAAGTCCTTATTTCTCTGGAATGTCGGTTTTCCTGCCTGTCTTCCAAGAGTGTGATTTCATGTTTAAAGTTCAGTTCATGTAACAGTTAGCTGCCAACAAGAGAAGATCATGAAAACAAATGCTCTGGAAAGAGTAGTTGACTGTGGGTTCTGAAGAGTCAGTACAACGGCAATGGGGAGGGAAACAGGAACATCCCACTCAGTAGAGCTGACTGATCAGCCTAGTTGCATCATTAAACTGCACCCCAAGACACTGTTGTTGATGTCTCTTAGCAAGGGTCACTTGCTAGAATGGGTGTTTAGCATTTGAAGTGTTCAGAAAGGCAAATTTCGCACCAATTGCGAAGTCCATCCTGCTGTACAGACAGTGTCACTGCCCTCACAACTCCCCTCAGGCCTGCTGACAATCATACTGCAGTTAAAGGGCACGTGGCTTCTTAGCACAGTTACCAGTCAAATTCTTCCACAGATCAAGCAGCTTCTATTTCCCCTCCCAGAAAGTTAACTCAATCTAGCTAAAAAGAGCAGTGTAAATACCATATTCAAATACAAGTCACAGTAGACTACATTTAAACAGATGGAAAGATGACAAAAGCAAAAAGTACTTCTGTTCTAGAGAAAAATCTCAGGCTAGTTTAAACATAGCTGCTGTGACAAGATAAATGTGATTGTTTTTCAGAGGCAGCGGTATCCAATGTTACAGATGAGAAATTTACTCCCAGTTGACTTGCACAGTGACAAGTCACTACTTTTTCATTATATAGTTCTTTCCTCTACAAGATCAATTTTATATTTACCAGCTTCACTCAGGACTTCATAGATTTCTTTCAATTTATTATTATATTCTCCAAGATACTTGGATGGAAGCTACAAAACTGTTTGTATTACAATCACTGAAGAGAACCACATGGAAGTGAGCTTGTCCCCCAATTAACTGGCTTAGTGTTACAATGAAATCTGTCTTGGGCATACTCACTTGCAAACTGCATTCAAAAAGATGAATCTGCTTTACAAAATAATGCTTTAGAAATGAGGAAAAATTTAGGGAGTTCTGGTAGAGTCAAGCAATCAAAAAGCAGAAGGTCTGACCACCAACTCCTTCACCTCAGGATTAAAGCAACACAAATACTCACAAGGGTAATGTTTTAAGCTGATCTTCCAGATTTCCAGATTTATAATCAATCACATCATCTGCTCCAAGCTTTTTCACCAGTGTGCTGGCATCATGAGAGCAAACTGCTGTCACATGAGCATCCCAGGCCTTCATTAGCTAAAAACAAGTATAAAAAAAATGAAGTCCAAATATTAAAATTTAGTAAAATATTGAGAACAACTTAAAAAGCCGAAGTATTATAGTCTCATTATATTTATATAACAAATGAGCACCTTTAATAGGGACTAGAGAGACTGTTCCAATACAGGCTAATTTCTCACAAATCCCACAGACAAAATAATGGCTAGAATTTATCAATATTTAAGGCGGTTGTGGGAAGGGAGGAGTTGGTGTGAAGAAAAGAGTGTGGGGGTTTTTTAATGCCACTGAAAGATAGCAGGTCTCATGAAAAATAAGGCTCTCAGTTTGCCATCTGTATGTTTAGTCTACCAGCTAAACATACACCAAGAGATACTGTCCAAGTTGCCAATCTACCAAACTGGCACCAGATGTACTATTAAATATTATTAAATATGCCCTTTAAGTATTTCATATTAGTGCAAATAGGTTAAGTACTAGTAAAAAGAAAAATAATGAAGTAAACATAGGGACAGTATCAGGTTATTGTCTACTCCAAAAGCTACAGCAAAGGACTTTTACTAGTTATTTATCTCTTTTTGCACCTCATTTTTTTCATTCACAGTAACACTTTTTACCTTTATTCCAGGTTAATTAACTTAATTCATCCAAAATTGATCAGTTGGCTCGTCAGCCTTTCATACTGAAAGTCGTCACCTGCTTTATCATAGATGAGGCAAATAGCATACCACAAAAAAAAATTCTGCTGTAAACATCTTTAAAACCACTATGCTTATGGCCTAGTAACATGGAAAGCAGTGATGCAATCACCCAGCTTCTGTAACTTTTTATAATCTTGAGAGAAAGATTTTTCAGCATGAGATGATAGTAATTAGAATCAAAACTCCCAAATTAACTGAGAGCATGAAAGAGGATGTTCCACAACTAATGAAGCAACAAAAGAGCATGTTGACTTTCCAAAGTTTAGAGCTGCTAGAACAGACAGACAAAAGGGCAGCAGGGCAAATACAGTGAGGGAAAGTAAATTTAAGCCTCTGTGCTTTACAGCCACTGCACACAAAAGCCTGATGGCCTCTCACACCATTTGACCAACTACAGTAGTTGTGGTAGGTGACATTCTCCATCAGTTTTCCTAATGATACACTAAGTTGTGCTCATGTTTAGAGCACAGAGCTGAATGAAAGATAATGAGAACAGGAGACATATTTCAAGTTACGCCAATCAAGAAATTTCTGCAACCAAATTGTGAAATGTGATCTTACACACAACTCCTTTCTTTGAAAGTCCCTGCTTCCTACTATAAAATAACACAACATTATAAACGGAAAGCAATAAATTTGAAAATACTTTACTTTTGGAAATATAAATCATCTCGATCAGGCACACTGATCAGTAGCTTGCTATTTCTCTATTCCTTCTCTCAATTCCCTTCTGTTAGTTTTTTTCATACTAAAACACTTGAATATTCATCCTGGGCATGCTGGATAATATTACCTGTACAGCAAATGTACCAACTCCTCCTGAAGCTCCTAATATTAATATTCTGTAAGAGAAAATTAAAATATATTTAATAGTTCTTTAAATAAACTCTGGAGTAACTATGTATTCTGATGTTTTTTACACATCTCTGACACTGAATTATTTTTACCAAAAGACTGGTTTTGTCATTCAATGTCAGTTGAGAGTGGTTAACTGTTCAGATAGGCAAAAATGTGACTTAACATTGCTGATCATGTGTCCTGTGCCAAAAACATTATCTCAGCACAGCCAAAGAAACTTCCTCATGTGTGCTCTCCACTAAATGCAGGCAGTGGAGCTGTCAGGTAGCAGCACTTATGTCACCCAAAAACCCTGTGCCTGTCCTCATTTTCCCAAACATAATTGTTTGGTTTGGGACAAAATCAATTAAGAGTCCTTTCTGTCTCCTAGACTCCACTGTCATATCTCCTACAGAAAAAAATCCAATTCACCAGCATTTTACATAAATCATTCTTATCTAAGTGAAAAAGTAGTTTAGTATCACATTATTTAAGGAGGCTGTGAACTGCAGAACATATGGAACATAATTTTCCCATACTGCATAATGTTTATATAAAAGAGAAAAATACAGTGAAGTACTCTCACCACTAACAACTTTAATTTCTATTAAATTAAGATAGGTATAATTTTCTTTAGGAAAAAAAGTAGTAGAATTTTTCTAGTTCCTTCCAGTACATCTCAACAAGACCCTGTAAACCCAGCTTGTGGGAACTGGCACGCAAGCAAGAAAATGAAAGAGTATACTGCCCAATTATTAGCAATTGAGAGTTCATTTTAATTGCTAACCCAAAATTTCAAAAAAATTAATAAAGTTTACTTGTGTGAGGACCTTACTGCTAGAAGCCTAATTACTGTTCAAAAATTTCATCCAAATATTTTATTAAATAACTAAACATCAGAAAGTGAATTAGTAAGAAAAGCTTGCAGCTCAAATTGTAAACAGTGCTTTGACTTTGGATCCATTTGCTAATTCTACGACAAAAAGAAGATCCAAGATGAAGTCCTGGCACAGAATTGGGGACATCATGTTTTTCAGAGCTTCTGTTTGCCAGAAAAATCTCAGAATCTTCAGAAGCTGGTAAAATTCCTGTTTTAAATCTCACAGTAAAAGATGTTGAAGGAAATTGCTTTTTGCAGTACAAAACTGTACTATACAATCTGGAGTCTCGGTTTACAAAAGTTCTTTGAAGTAGCTTAAGAGACTTGGCTTTGGTCACACTATCCGTTTCAAAATGCTCCTTTTGTAAGTGATCAGATTCTGTTCCCTTCCATTTCACTGATCCAAGCTGCAAAATTCAGATTAAGAATATGAAACCACAATACCACAAAGCCTGCAGCTTTCAAATCTGCCAAAATGTGCTTATCCTCAGAACCAGGCTTCTAACGACAGATGCCTGGAGCAACATGCATATTTTGACTTCAGTATACTTGAAAATGCTCTGGGATCCTGCACTCAAGATACTGGGTTAAACCCATCTTCATCCTTAAAAAGGACAGTCAAAAATTAAATCCTTTCAAAAAAACCTTTTCCATTTCACTCCTTAGTTAAAAAGGGCACTTCTACTACATATCTGGGGGAAAGCTGTCATCTTAAAATGTACAATTTGCTCAAATGATTTTGGTAACATTTTCAGTTTGGGGAGCAGCATGGCTAGGACTTTTTTTAATTTTCCCCTTCAATAAAAGCCCTCAGGATTCCTTCAGGTAGAAATACCTTCCAGATTCAGTTTGTTCCTATGTTACATGGGCCATTTTCTGCCACATCTTCCAATTATTAAAACTCTCTCCACACACTGTGACTTCAAGAAAGCCCTTCATTTCTCAGACAAACTACATCTGCACAGGAGATTCATGTCCATGTGCAGCAGCTCAACAGCACTGACAACAGCAAGACACACAAGTAAGAGGGGGAATGTTTGAAGGTGCAGGACCTGTTAGGACAGTACTGAATGACAGATGGTGGCAACTGCCAAAGCAGGAACAGTTTTGTTTGCACTGCCTCAGGAAAACACGGCCAGGAGAAAACACATCACAGAAACTACCTGTTTTCACTGCAAGGGTGAACTTAGGAGTAAACTAATATACAAGTATGTGCACCAGAGACCAAATTAACAAATCTTCTGACTTGGACAGAGATCCAAAAGAACCAATTCTTTCAAAAGAATAAAGAGAACATTTGTATCCCAGGCTTTCCCCCCTTCTGACAGAGGCACAACATTCACCAAGCCCTCCATGGGGCTCCAGCAGTTCAAATGATCATAGGGAGCAGATCTCTCCAAATAAGCACACCACGAGATTTGAAAGTTTAGCCCATCTCCCTGGGCCCTGCTTGGAGCTATGGTGTGGTCAGAAACGAGCATCAGAGGGGCAGGACCTGTTTCAGCTGTGTGCACCCCCCACCCAGAACATGCAGAAGGTGGGGACTGGGTGTACAGATCAAGGACTAATGTTTTCTCCAGAATATAAACAATTAAAAATTTTCAGTTACTGAGTTACACACAAGGTAACAATTGAATGAATGCATCAATTTTATATAGCTGTAAAATTAATGTATTTATTGACTAAATATATCAACTTTATTTAGATATAAAATTATATTTCATTTGATTATGCCAACAAAATGTCCTCAAGAAATTTATTCCTGGATCAAGCAGTGTTTACCCTCTCAAGAAGTTTTACAACCTACACTCAATTTCAACTTCTCAACAGACAAAATGATTAAATAACACACAGACATTGAAAAAAATATTTTCTTGGGGTGTTATACCATCCAAATTTTCACTGTAACCATATAGACCAGGAGTCTACGTTTGGTAGCTTACATTAACAGAATCCAGCATCTCTGCCCAATATAGATGCAAGTCTAAGATATTGCCTCTGTATTTACATAAAGAGTTTCACTTAAAAGCAACTTCTCAAACTGTCAGGTTTGTTTATGTCATGCATTTTTTGAATACGGAAAGTAAGATATTTAACAGCTAGTGTTGAACAACCATATCCCCTTTCTACTGAAACAGGTCAGTGGCACATATGAGAAGCTCCAGGTATCCACAGAGAACTTCAACATAACAGTTATTTTGAACATTAGGGTAGTAAGAACATTTAAACTTCTACAAGAATATTGACATTAATTAGAGTGGTATAGAATAAAAGCTATGGAAAAATGACTGGAATTGCAGGAGGGTTCACAAACAATGAGAGCACACTTCAGGAAACTTGTAAAAACATAACCTGTGAAAGTATGTGCTGATGGAACAGATAATCTCTCAGATCAATGCACTGCCAGAACTGGACTAACAGCAAGCGTTTCTGGTTAGCCCACGCTAATGCCTTGAAAGAGGCAAAGAAAAATCTTGCTGCTTTTAAGATGTCTTAACATTGCACTAAAGCACCAGTGAAGAAGCTTTCATCAAGGAATACATCTGCTTTGCCAAAATAAGACGTTTTTGTGTGCATGTACACCCTTCTACATAGCTATTTACCTACAACTACAGGAGACAAAAAGACTGACATAAAATCACACATGTAGGTAACTTCTCACCAAGTACATGATCTAAAGAAATTAGGAAACATGGCGTAAATTGTCGTTTTTTTAAATTATTACCCTGAGAGTTCATGGAATATTATTTTGCACAACCTCTTCAATGCATTTTAAACATTTTCTTACAAGTAATATTTCAGGGGAAAAAAGATACTATCACATAAGTCATTCACTGCTGGTTTTACAATTCAAAATTTATAGACAGGAAATATAATATTTTAAAGTACATTAAAATGGGTTTCTTGCTGACAGCATAATTAAAAATTTATTTGAAACATGAAAGTAAATATTAAATCTAAAGACACATTACAAATCCAGTTTAAATTTTACTGTTAACAATCTAAACACTTACTGAAGATTGGAAAGACAAATACATCCAGCCTATCAGTGTATCTTTAGGTTAATTCTAGTTACATGTGAAAATTAAGATAATAAAAAGTCTAAATACTGAAAAATAAAAAGGTGATCTTATCTACAATTTTATTACTAGCTGGAAGTTAATTACAATGAAGTCTCTTTGAAACACCCTTAAAGTTTGCATTTTCATCTCAAAACATTGTTTATCTATAGAAAAAACAATTACTCAATATTTTCATGATGAAGTTCACTGTGACACATGAATGACCACTCACTTGATTGTCTTCTAGAGACATGGGTGAAAAATTTAAATCGATACAGAGTCCTTTGCAACGTGCTGCATTACAAAGTATCAGCCAAGATAAGAGGTCAGGCATCCAGACTCCTGCTGCCCAGTAATTACTTTATGACCTAACCGGTGATGCAGCATAGTAATTTTAACTACTGTTTTTCAACCCCCATAGTTTTACTTCTGTCCTTATTTCCATTCTGAAGATTTTGCATCTATTTACCCAACATCCAAAGGTCAAAATAACTGAAAATTTCAATTATCAGGAGAAAAATGGTATTTGCTCCAATATTTCACTGCATTTTTCCTCATCTGCCATTGTCAGATCAACAGACTGATAAACAAAGTCAATTTTTCTATTTGACTGGCTGCTCGTCTTGTACATTCTCCTTTTCTTGTCTGCATTCCTGACCTCATCAAAGTTCTGGCCTGCAGGTCAAATAAGAATCAGTCACCTGCTCATTTTTCTCTAAAAAGCTGGAAAACCAGTCTGCTCCAAATGGCCCATGCATGCAGGAAGTGAGCGAACCACATCTCTGTCCTTGAGAGGGCTTTTTGTGAGCTGCCAGTATAACTCAGAGGATATTACATTTGGCTAGCTGTCTTAACAGGAAGAAAGGCAAAGTCCCTACAAATTCCTGGAGATAGCATCCTCAAATTCTCTACACAGACCACACATTAGATATACATGGTATGTATATCTAGAATCATAGAAGAGCCTGGGTTGGATGGGATCTCAAAGATCATCCAGCTCTAAATGCCCTGCTGTGGACAGAGACACCCTCCACTGGGGCAGGCTGCCCAGAGCTCCACCCAACATGGCCTTAAGTATTTCCACTTGTGGATGTGTGGGTATCCACAACTTCTCCGGGCATTTTTTATCTCTATATAGGGACCTCATCTGAGCCTTCCTCTAAAGAAACCTCTCTCAGCAGCTGTGTAGACAGAATCCATCATCCTCAGACAGCTGATCCTTAGGAATGTCACGGTATAACAGTCTTTATTGCTGCTGGACTTGTCTTAGAAGCAGCTCATCTACATAAAAATGAAGAACTTTAGTTTTAGCTCCAGAACTGTTTACTTACCTTTTCCCACTACAATTACTTTGGTTCAGTCCTCCCACTTGGTTAAGTGCAGACCACGCAGTGAGACCAACATATGGTAAGGCAGCAGCTTCTGTGTGACTGAGAGACTTTGGCTTAAAAGATACCTGAAATAAAATCATTACTAAGTCACACAGCATCTCCTATGTGACACTGAAATACTTAAAAAAGCTTTACTGAATTGCAGATTGTGTATTGCACATTTTCAGCCATCTTTAACATCAGCTGGAGTATAAATCAATCCAAGCACTAAGAAATAAAGTTACTTAGATACTGAAGAAGAAAAATGCCAGTCTTTACAACTTTGAGGTTCTGTTAGTCAGAGTTTTGGAAGTTTACCTCGTTTCCACTAGCTACCACGAACTCTGACAGAGTGCCTTGTTTCCATGGGGGAATTGCTGCCCACACCTAAAACCAAACAGGAAACAACTATCAATTTTTGTACCTTTGCACACAATTGTATGTACACAGAAGTCTCCTTTGTTAAGGAAATCTTTTTTTTTTAATTCACAGAATGTCTTCACTGTTTATCAGAAACCAGTTTTGGCTTATTTTACACACAGAAAAAAACCTCACAAAACTGACTAAATGTAGGACTGTAGGGCTATGTAAATAAATCGTACCATTGCATTGTGTATAAGACATAATTTTCAACTGCCCCCATACTACTCCCATGCCAGGAAAGCCCAGATTAGAGGGGTGAGGATGGTGCAGAATCAGGATTTGCTTAGCTAAAACTGGTGAAACGTGCAAGCAACTGGTGAAGGTGAAAGCAAATAGTATCGGTATTTCTGTGGGCACCCATGAAGTACTTCTTGGGTTGAGCCAAAGTTCCTACTCCAAGTTACTCAAGAAAAATAAAAACAAATCCCTTCTCATTAGAATTCTACTTTCAATTAAAAACGAATTGGCACTTTGAGTGTGCACTTATAAACAAACAATTTCCACTCTTGCTATTGGTGCAATGGTCCAAAAACTAAAACACAGAAAGGAAATTAACTTGCAGAAACAAGTCTGAAAGACCATCTTTTCCAGAGAAAAAAACAAAGGGAAGAAAGTATTCCAGGAATTTACTGCCAGATAGGCCTTACTAAGAATGTAACAGCATTAAAAAAAAAAATTAAGATGAGAATGAATGCTGAACATCTCATAGTATATTTTAACTATACATTTTGGGGAAAAAAAAAAAAAAAAGAGATTGGTGGTTTCACCTCATCTCCGGGTTTGAAATAAGACACACCCAGTCCACATTCCATAACAACACCAGAGACATCTCGACCAAGCGTTAGAGGAAATTCAGTCTCGCCTGCTTTGAGTTTCAGGGGATCCCGCTTCATATTTAACGCAGTTGCACCATAACCACCTGCAAAACATGGAATCAATCACAACACACCACAATTGAATGCTCATTTATTAATTGTGCAATTCCAATTAAAAAGCATTGTCATCCATAAGGTGCCTCATTTCTGTTATAACTGAAGCACGCAAAAAATCTGCAATATTTCACACTTTTACAGATTTTAGAAATAAAGAGCAAGTGTAAAAAATAATAAGGCATATCTCCTAAGATGAGTGACCTGGACTTCTATTCAGTAAGCACAGACAAATGCTGTGAAGTCTCAGAGTTACCCATCTAATAACAGTGCTCAGCCTAAAAATAGCCTGCATTTGGGCATGTATACCCACTCAAGTGTTGGGACAAGTCCACCTAAGGGCCCTATCATGCCAGAAGGTGTCTTAACAGGAATCCTCAGATAGGAAATGTCCCATCACCAAACCCCTAACTATATGCAAAGATTTTTTAAAATTCATTTATTAGAGACACAAAACACAGATTAGAGCTCTGTCAGCAGACTTCCTGCTATTTGCTAATTCTACTGCATCTGATTTGATATGAAAGCACTTCTACACAGGAAATATAAGGTATTCTACTACCACAATTTCCTTCTTGTGTTTCAAACCCAGAAACTGGGAAACAAAATCTGATTGACTGTGTCAAATACAAAGAGCCAGCCAGTGAGAGTGACAGATTTCCTGGGCGGGATAACAGCACGTCCCCAGATGCCAATTCAGGATGGGCATGGCAATGAACACCAGGGTTTGCCTTAGGTCGCACATGCCGACTTGGCAGCAAGTTGGACCTCCAGCCCCATTCACCGCAAGGAGATGGGAAAAGCCAGCATCACTTAGGGGGAATGCTGCTCCTTGGCCGGGCGTCCCTCGGTCGAGAGCAGCACCACAATCACTCAATTAAGAGTTCACCCTCGCAACACACACACGCACACTCTTGTCAGTGGCTTTTTGCATCGTTCTTCCCTGAGAACCTGAAACAAGGTTGAGTTTCCAAGAGGCGGCGGTTTCCCACAGGGCTCGGGAAACACGTGTGCTGAGGCAGCCCCGGACAGTGCGGGGCAGGACGGTGCCCCGGCACCACCCGGGCCGCAGCGCAGCCCCTGCCATCCCGGCAGCCCGCCGGGCTCCGCACTTACTTCTCATGCTGAGGTCGATGGGGTTCAGGCTCGCAGCGTGAACCTTAATGATGACCTCGTTCGGGAAGTGTATGATGGGGAACATCATCTCCCTGGTGAAGCGCAGCACCTCGTTGCTGCCGTACCGGTCTATGACCCAGCTGGGCATGGCGACCCGCGCCCGCGGAGAGGCGCGGAGCCCGCGGGTCCCTGCCCGCCCGTTCGCCCAGCGCAGCGCCCGCCCGCCCGCCGCTCCCCACGACAGCATAGCCAGGGCAGCCGGGCCGGGCCGGGCCGGGCCGCGGGTTCGGGATGGGGGTCGGGATAAAGACCAGATCGGGATCGGGCCGGGTCGCCACGGCGCGCCTCAGCGCTCAGCCCGGCGGCCCCCGCAGCCAATGGGCGGCCGCCTTCTTGGCCGCCCTGCCAATAGTGCCGCGGGGTGTTGCGGCAAGATGGCGGCGCGCGGCCGCCGCGCCGGGGGAAGGTGAGGGTCGTTCGGCGGGCGTGAGGAGGCGGCGACGGGCAGGGGGAGCCATGCTGCGCACCTCTCTCCGACAGGTGAGTGGCGTTTGTCCACCTGCTGAGGATGCCAAAGAGCGGGGTAGGGGTGTCGAGGAGGGGGGCGGGTTCGCAAGGTGACTCGGGTCCCTGGCGTCTCCCTTCCCCGGGGCGGCCCGGGAGAGCGCTTCCCGTGGGCTCCTTCCCTCAGCGGGCATGGCGCGTTCTTCCCGTTCCGCCCCGGCGCGGCCTCTGTCCCCCGGCTGCCCCGAATGACGGGCTGCGCTCTCAGGTGTCGGCGGCGTTGAAGGACGGACGAGTCACTCCCACGGAGCTCTGCCAGCGATGTCTGGCCCTCATCAAAACCACCAAGTTTCTGAATGCATACATTACCGTAGCGGAAGAGACCGCTTTGAAGCAGGCTGAAGAATCAGAGAAAAGATATAAAAGAGGTATGTTGGTTTGTAAGTAGTGTCAGTCCTTAAAAAGCTGCTGTGGAGGAGCTCTTTGTGTTAGACGAAGCAGCTTTGCTTTTTAAAGGGGATGTCTTGGCTTGTCTGACTGTTGGGGGATGAGGCTCACGCTTGAGGTTTCCGTGGGTGCTCGTGGACGTACACTTGGCACTCAGGAGAGTATTTAGGCCAAAAAACAGAGGGAGAACCTGGACTGAACAAGGCACTTGTTAAATAGGCTCTGTGCCTCTTGGGCAACACTGCTGCTTGGTGTCTGCTGCTTCTTTGCCTCAGCAGTTCATTTAGAATATGTAGCCAACAGGTGCTATGAATAGGCAAATGGTCATTCACAGGCCTCCAGGCTGGGATAGGCAAACAGCTGGCACAACCTATTGAATTTTTAATTAAGAAAACAAATTAAAATAAAGTAACTTTATTAATTGCGGTTAGTAATAGGAGAACAGAACAGTTTTCAGTCCTGTTATCTCCAGCATTTAGAAGATGGCCATCCTTATTTTCCTTTGTGTTTCAAGAAAGGCAGGAAAGGTAAATTTTCACCCAATAGAGTACACGGTTTCCTTCCTGGGTGACACTTGCTGTCCTCTGGCAGCTCAGTAAAATTGTCAGCCAGGTTGTTTTGCTTCCTGATGGTAGCCATTTCATTTTCGGGTTGTGTTTGTTTTTTTTTTTTGATGGTGGATAATCAGTTACTTGGGAAGGATTTTCTCTGCTTCAGTAATTGATGAGAACTTTATATTTATAGAGCACATTTTGCTTTAATCTCTGTTGTTTTACAATCATTCCTAATGCAGGTCAGCCACTGGGCATTCTAGATGGAATTCCTATTGCTGTAAAAGACAATTTCAATACAGCTGGCATTGAGACAACATGTGCATCAAATATGTTAAAAGGTACAGTAAAGCTTTTAAAGTAAATTCAGATCTTTTGCTCTTTAGAGGGTTTATGGACTGAAGTCTTGCAGAAATCCAAGTATTTTTGAAAAACGAGCTGGTGTCATTTGAGGAAATACGTTTATCCAGTTTCACTAGCCAAGTTCATCTGGTATTACAGATGGATCTTCTTCTTCTTCTAAGCATGTTATTTCTTTATAATTGTATGCATTTAAAAACATTTATAATAAAAACAAATAAAATAATAATAAATAATAAAACTACAATAAAATTATTCCAAAACTCTCATTTTCCTTCACATTGCTTTTAGGTCTAGAGGAGAGCAGTCAGTACTGTTCTGCCTAGTGAAATCCAGAGACAGTCCAGTTTTGTTGTTGTTCTGTTTATAATTGGTGACTCAAATAGTTTTTTGATATGGCTGTAGGAAAAGTAGATATTAACAGTCCAACATACAATCACTCTATTATGCTTTTAAGGAAATTTTTTTAAATTTCCTAAACTCATTGTTTTTATTAACAGTTCTTGAACATTTTCAAGTCATTACAATGTTTTATAATAAAAACCAAAGTAGGAAACATTTCTTATACCTGTTTTATTCTGCGCGAAGTAAGACTTTATATTAATCCTTGAGGAAGATAGCAGAAGTAAATTAGCAGACCTCTAATTTGATTGTGGTTTTTTTAATAGCGGAAGAAACAAAATATGACTTCACTGTTGTAAAAGTTGTTATAGATGCTTTTCCTTAAAGCACATCCTCAGACCTGTTGTGATTGATTGCAATGAGTATTAGGAGTGATGTCCTTGTTCCTGATGAAAGTGGGAGTGACAAAGCCCTCGTCGTCATTCACAAAGTGAATTGGTTACTACTTGAGATCTCGTGTCACTGTCATAGTTCTCATCCTAGGTTATGTAAGGTCTGAGTGGTAATGACAGTATCAAAATGTTCAGAGAAGCTACTTGTAAAAATAATTTGCATCTCACCAGTTGCTTTTAATTGTTTTGATTGTTTTCAGGTTATATTTCTCCTTACAATGCTACAGTAGTTCAGAAGTTACTGGATCAAGGAGCTGTGCTTTTAGGTAAAACAAACCTAGATGAATTTGCAATGGGGTGAGTGATGTTTATTTTTTTAATGTGCTGATTTTACATAAAATAACGTACATACCATCTGTTCCACCCTACCTGTAATCCTTAACTCCTGTTTCTGTGAGGCAAGACAATAATGAATACTTACTGGAAGGGCACACAGAGCTGCATGAACTTCCCCGTGAGTGTTTATAGTGTTGCGTAAATGATACAGACGCTGAGTTTTGTGAACATAGTGTTCAAATGTGCTTGAGAGGCAGGAAGCAGTCCAGCTTTTGCAGAAGGCCAAGGACAAGTGGACTTCTTGTAGATTCAGTAGTGTGTTAATAGACTTGGTTACAACACAGTTAATTGCTGCCTTTTCCTCTCTCCTTACTGATGGCTTTTTGCCCTTGGGTAATTGTTATCATGCCCCCAGTGGCAGCCACTGCCTCTGCCAGTCAGCCACTGGGGTAATTTATATGGGTACTCCCTGACTTGCTGCACACAGGCTAATCGAGAGCAAGGTTTTTAAGTTGTCTAAGCTAATGTTGGTGGCTTTTTGTCAGGAGCACATTGACAAATGCTCCTACAAATTGATTCTTTTGCAAATCAGTGAAGGCAGCCAAGCTATAGCAGAGAATGGCATTGGGCTGTTAGGGATGGGAATTACTGCTAGGTTTGGAAGGGAATCTTTAGTTACCTGTGAAAAACAGTAAATGCAGTATTTTGGTTTTATTATAGTTAAACCAAAGTCCAAGGTTTGATTGGAAATTCACATGGATGGGGTGGAAATACTTAGACAATATTGTTTTGAATAAAGTAATTTTTGTGTAAAAAAGATATTCCTCAGAGGAAGAGCAGGCAGAAAGCTTGGGAGAAACCTGATAATGCAGTATTACAACTAGTCTAAGTTCATTAAAGCACAGGATTCTCCTAAAGAGCTTATCCCAGTACTAATTTCTTATTCTGGTCTGTGTGTTTGCATGATCTCTTGATCAGGGAGAGGATCTAGCTCTACAGCAATCATGTCTCAATAAGGTTGGTTTTCAACTACTGTCAGCTGTCTGTTCTATCTGATGATTTAGCTGGTAACACTGGCGCCTTGCAGTCAAGGGAGCATGGCGTAAAGGGCCTGAGGAAGGAGGAAAGTATGCCCTGCCCCTACTTCTGGTGTCAGCTCACACTTGGCGACACAAGCTGACTGAAACCAGTTTCTGAAAACCAGTCTGGCATTCTGAACCAGTAAACTGTGCCCTCTGCAGAAGGCTACAAAGTGAATAATAGTGTGGCATTTCAGAGAAATGCATGTTCCTGGTATTGTGGAGTTTTTTCTCCACCTCTAGCAGCCTGTTCTTCCTCACAACAGTGATCTTGCATCAAATGCAGGGCTGGAAAAACAGAATACCTTGGTTTTGAAAAGAGATGTGCTCCTATACTTTTACAAAGCTTAAATCAGTTTTATGTCTTTGTGACTCTTGTTTGTTTCAGTGGCATTAGCAGAAGTATGAGTTCAGGTTCTGTGTCAGAAACTGATGAACAGCTGTGAATTTTACAATTGTGTGTAATGTTGTAGAAGTTGACTCTTAAGGATTTACGTATACCAGTCTTCTTGTGTTGAAATTGAATTTGCAAGGATGAAGAGGAATTTGATTTAAAAAATGAAATTGTGTGTCATTTGTCACTTCTCTCTGTATTTGTCCTGTCTGACTATCTTAGTTCTGGGAGTACGGATGGAGTATTTGGACCAGTCAGAAATCCCTGGAGTTATTCAAAACAGTACAAGGATAAGTCTGTCCCAAAGTCCCATTCTGAAGATGAAGAGTCTAACTGGGTAATAACAGGAGGGAGCTCAGGAGGCAGTGCGGCTGCTGTGTCGTCTTTCACATGTTTTGCGTAAGAAGCTTTTAAAATAGTTTTTCCCTAAATGTCTAAAAATATGTTGGAATGTTTTAATTTTATAATTTTCACATAAGCTAGTATGAAATAGGAAGCTTATTGGTACTTGCATGCAAAATTTTATTTCGGCATCCCTAGGTTACTCATGGTGTATCATGAAGCCAGAATTAATCCATGCAGGCAAATTTAGATTTACTAATTTCATTTCAGGCATTATTCAGTGGTATGACCACTTTGCACTGTGTGAAATGAAATTATGATGGCAGTAAGGGAGTGACAGTTTTATTCTTATTCCCACATAATCTCTTAAAAACTCCTACGGGGTTTGTGACACATCCTCTTCCTCGCTAATTGCATTACACAAATACACTGAAAATGTAATTCAGCAAATTAAGAGATCCCTTAATTTGTAACAGTATAGTAATGTTTCCTCTGCTCCTGTGTTTTTGTAGCATAGTTATGTAATAGTACATGAGATTTGGGACCTAAAAGCTTTAAAATGTCTAATTTAACAAAAGAGTACAGAGTACTTACTACATA